TTCATTTTCTGTTTTAGGAACATTCTCTTGTCAATTGAGCAGATGATGCAAATGTTCTTTGCTTAGTAGTGGGCTTCGGAAAGCTTGCCTGTTTTGACTTTAATAACAGAGATGTAGTAATAAAATCACAGGACACATGACACAGAGACTTATCATCATTACCAATCGAAGTTAAAAAGCAGATTTGAATGAAAGGGTGGTAAACCTGTATAGTCCACAAGGCATTACTTACTTAAGTGTTTGTTGGCAGCTGAGGTTGAGGCCCCAGGATTAGAGGTCTGGGTTCAAATACCCCTTCCCCCCCCAGATTCTTAAATCCCACCATTCCCTTGCTATTTAAAAACAAAGAAAAAGAAAAAAAGGCATATAATCCAAAATATGCGCAGCAAAGATAATGTCTACCATTGCTTACATTGTTTTCACTTGTAGTTCCTATCAACTTCTTTTGCAGGGTGTCTTTATAAATCCAGCTTTTATTGAACCATTTGGTCTCACTTTAATTGAGGTTCTCATCCCTAACTCCTATTTACACTTGTGCTTGAGATCTTAGGTGTGTGAATGTACAACTCAACCTGCTTTTTTCTGAACAGGCAGCAGCCATGGTTTGCCAATGGTCGCCACAAAAAATGGAGGTCCTGTTGACATTCATCGGGTTTGTCATCATTGCTGGATCCTTTTTTAATTGCTCATGAGTTTTACTCTTTTTTTTTTTTTCCCAAGTGGAACTTCAGTGGAAGTCTGAGGCTGGTTTCCTGGACTGACATTTAATTTGTTTCAGGTTCTTGATAATGGTTTGCTAGTTGATCCCACAACCAGCAATCTATAGCTGATGCACTTCTGAAGCTTGTTTCAGAAAAGAAACTTTGGGCAAAATGTAGGGAGAATGGGTTAAAAAATATACATCTATACTCGTGGCCGGAGCACTGTAAGACATATCTTGCACGCATTGCTAGTTGCAAACAGAGGCATCCACAGTGGCTGAGAAAAGATGATGAACATACAAATTCAGACTCGGACTCCCCCGGAGAGTCTTTGAGAGATATTCAGGACATATCTTTGGGCTTAAAAATGTCATTGGATGATGAAAGTCGAGGAGACAGGAGTTCTGAAAAAGATCTAGATTCGGTACGAGAGGCAGGTGATGGGAAGAGTCAGGTGAGAATTCGGCTTTAGCATTGTCAGGAAAGGGTTCAGCGGAGAAAGCGGAGCAGAGTGCATTTCCTACACTGAAGAAGAAGAATTTCATTTGTGTTGTTTCTATTGATTGTGGCTCTTTGGATGATCTTGCTAGTTTCACCAAGACAATAGTTGAGGCCGGCAGTATGGAAAGAAGTTCATGCTCCGTCGGGTTCATACTGTCAACTGCATTGACTATATCAGAGACCAACTGCCTTTTGAAGTTAGGGGGTTTAGACCGAGAGATTTTGATGCATTCATATGTAATAGTGGTGGTGAGATATACTATCCCTCTTCATGTTCTGAGGAAAAGCCTTTTATAGTCGACTCAGATTACCATCTACATATCGACTACCGTTGGGGGCGAATGATCTGAGGAAAACCTTGGTTCGTTGGGCGGCTTCTGTAAACCAGAAGAAGAAATACGAGGATGGACCAGCTATGACAGAACATGACTCAGGATCCACGCATTGCTATGCATTCAAAGTCAGAGAACCTGAAGTGGTAAAGCAGTACTAGTTTTTTTAACGTTCTCTTTTCTTGATCTCTTCCACAAAGTACATAATTCTTGATCTCTTTTCTTGGATGTCTAATTTCTTTCAACAGCTGCCACCAGTCAAGGAAATCAGGAAACTGATGAGGAATCAGGCTCTTCGTTGTCATGCTATTCATTGTCAAAATGGTATGGGGTTGAATGTGATACCTGTTCTAGCCTCCAGAGCTCAAGCTCTTAGGTAATCACTGCTGTTTAATTATCCTCCTGATTTTCATTTTCACGCTCGAAGTCAACAATTCATTTGATCATGTTTTGTCCCGCCCGCAACTCTGAAGGTACTTGCAAGTTCGATGGGGAATCAAATTGTCAAATGTTGTCGTCTTTGTTGGAGAATGCGGAGACACGGACTATGAAGGACTGGTTGGTGGAGTGCACAAAACTGTTGTCCTGAAGGGAGTCTGCAGTGATGCCCCTAAAATATACAGCAACAGGAGCTATCCGCTCGACCATGTTCTGCCGGTAGACACCCCAAATATTATTCAGTCTCAAGGACGAAGTAAAGATGCAATTCTTGAATCACTGAGAAAACTAGGCCTTCTCAACAGCTAATCACTGAAAAAACTAGGCCATATTTTTTCCTAGTATAATGAATTTCTAAAATATACTTATCCATTTATTTATTCAAAATTGATAATCAAATGGACAAAGTTAATTTTTTTTTATTGGAAACACAAATCTTGTTCAAAAAACCACTACTGATTTTGAGCTTGTATTAGAAGTGCGCTTTTTTTTTTTAACACAAGCGCCACAACCCCAAATAGATTCAAGTCTAGTTTAGTATTAATGATTTACAGCCCACATTATATGCTGATAATGAGCTAATTTCAATTTGATCATCCTTCATATTCATTTTGTAATTTCAATTTGCTTTTCACTACTTCACTTGGCATGTTCATGCTTAACACCATTAGAAGCGTTACTAGTTTAGCTGCACGTCAAGAGAGCGAACGCTTTTAGAACTCTTGAAGTGGACCTAACAGTCGGAGATGGAAAGAATGTAGAGAGGGTTAAAAAAAAAAGAGGACGTGTTTATCAAATATATTTGTTTTTTTTTTTTTTTGTCAATACATGGGTGTCCTGGTCAATCCTTACGGGGCCCGACTAATTCCCTGCAGTCCGGGCTCGACGCCCCAACCCGACCCAAACACGATAAGTGCGCGGAGGAATCCAGTAGAGCAGAGACTCGATCTTGGGACCAAGTGGTCACCAGGGGAAGGTGGTGACGCTAGGCCATTCACGCGGGGGTTATCAAATATATTTGTTGCATTGGTAAATTTTGTATGGTGTACAAGTCCGTATATTTTGTCATGTTGGTTTTGTAGACATCGCTGGAAGAGGCCTTTTTCTCTACAAAACTTGAGCCTCAATCCACAATGATAAGAATTCCAACTCATTAATTACCTGTGGGTTGCATATTCATAATAGCGACTCAGGCAATTCTTACTGATGCCATGTAAGAAGAGAGGTGGTGGGATGGTTTTTTTTTTTTTTTTTGGTTTTCTTTTGACTCAAAACGATTATTTTACATGTTGAAAGCTGCAGCAGCGTTCAAATAGCTGCACCCATCCGAACATCTTAAGATTAATGATTAAATCAAGGCGTAATTAAATAGAAAATCTATTGTAGATTCTTTTTAATTGATTTATAGATTTGAGATTTGAGGTAATATTATTCATTTTTATCAATTTCCTATTCGGACACACATATAACATTTGTTAAAATAGTTTATGTTACAAAACTATTTAATGGTCAAAATTTTGAATGAATAACCCAAAATGCTCTCGTGAAATTGTGAAGTTCATCTTACCTTCTTACAAAATTATTCAAAAACTATAGAACATGCACAAAATTTCTAACTCATTTTCAACTCTCATCTCTACTATTTTAACCCTTTCATATTACCACATTTCAAATTACTACTATTATCGCCATGACCATTACCACTATTAATCCCTAAATTCTAAAACGTCAATCGAAATTTAAAAAATTTGTATTGTTAAGCTCAAAAAATTTTAATAATCGCATCAATATAACATTCTATCCCTCAGCTGCTGAAGTACCACTGCTAGGCCTATCTTTTTTAAACCTAATTTACATACTCTTCTATTTATATCCAGATCCTCCAAGAAAAATAAAAATTAATTTTTAATATGTTATTATTGTGTCTAGGACATGATCGATTATTTCACGAGTGAATTTTATTTTTATTTCCATTAAATGTCTAATTGTGTGATGCAGGTGCATTCATATGAACAAGATTAGAAGTGGATTGTTTAATTGTATGAAAAAAATATTACTCCCTCCGTCCCGTTTTGTTAGTCTTGATTTTTTTTTCACACAGATTAAGAAAGTGTAATTAATTTGGTTGGAAACATAAATTTAGATTAATAATTTCCTAAAATACCCTTATGCTAATAATGCAGTCAATGTATTCAATGTATTGGAAAAGCTCAATGTATTCAATGTAGTGGGTTAGTATTTAATAACAATGTATTAATAACAAGATATTTAATAAGGGTATTTTAGACAATTTGAAAGATTACTACATTTCTTAATGGGAAAGTGGACTACAATTTGGGACGGACGAAAAAGGAAAACAAGACTAACAAAGTGGGACGGAGGGAGTAATATGTTAAGACTATTATGGTCATTTTGTAGAGTCAAAAGAGGTATGTGTTATATTGAAAATCTCAAGAATATTAGGCGAAATTGTTCGACTCTTCTGAAATAATCCCTAACCCAAAAAAAAAAAAAAAAAGAAGAAAAGAGAGAAACAAAATTTTGGGGCCATGACACGAGAATGTAAAATTAGAATAATGAAGGCATGTGGACTGACTGACTAAGTACTAAGAAGGTTGTTAGTTCGTTAGTTAATCGCAGAAAAATTTTTAGTTCCCTCCCCCCCCCCCCCCCACACGCCCACGGCATGGATTTTAACGACTTTTTATTCTTTTTTGAATGGCTTTTTAGCCGTTTCAACTTTCAACTCTCAAGTCTCAACTCCGACCGATGAAATCCTTCCCACCTTCACCTCCTCCATCTTCCTCTTTCTATCTGCCCTTGCCTTGGCCCTTCCCTTGCAAGTTGCAACACACACACACACTCACACTCTCTCTCTCTCTATATATATACACACATGACACTTAACCAAATTAGGAAACCACAGAGTAGGAGTATATCTTATTAATATTTACACACTCATTTCTCTGAGCTCCGTCTTATACAAAAAACACGCACAAAACACGCACTCCCCTCAACCAAAACGCAAATGGTGACTTATACAAACCATACCAACGCCGCCGGTGGTGATGATCATAACAACAACAACAACAACAACAATAATGATAGTAGTAGTACGGAAAATTTTCACGGGACAGGAAGCGGCGGTAGTGGAAGAAGTAGTACGAGTACTAGCAGTAGTTCTTCTTCTAATTACTGCGTATGGCTTGTTTGCAGCGTCATGTTTCTAGTGTCGTCGGTGATGGTTGTGGCGGTTTTCACCATCGTCTCTTCTTCTTCTTCTTCTTCTATTGCTGCTTGGTCACCACCTTTCAAATTCTCAGCATTCAAGTCCGCCGGAACAACGACGAAAACAGCCACGCCTCCAAATATTTCCTCCTCCAAATCACTGGCCTACTATTTCATTCCCAACAACATCATCTCTGCTGCTGCCACTACTACTCTTACTGCTAATGCTACGACTACTCCTCCACCTGATCCTCACCTTCCTTCCCCAATTATTCTCGTATGTCCTCTTTCTCTCTTCTGTTTTATATTCAGGACTAGCATATATTATAGTTTTTCTGTTATCTTAACTGCATGCCTCTTTTGTTTTGAATTCTCCTCCCGATCAATCGGTCATCTTTAATTTCCTCACGAAATATGGTATAATATCGTCTTCTCTGCGTAATTACGCATGCATATATGTACATGATTGCAGACAAGGCAAGAGATTCTGGAAAGAGGACTTGCAAAAGCACGAGCAGCGATTAGAGAAGCCGCAGCTTCTCATCGGAATTTTTCTGTAACCGCCTTCTCCGCCCATATTTACCGCAATCCTGCTGCGTTTTTCCAGTACGTTTCCTTTTCTTTTCTTTTTTTTTAAACTTAAATGCATTAATGCTATTATTCATTGCCTTCCTGATCTTTTTTCTTTAATTTCCGGATATATAAAATTATTATTATTTATTTCTTTCCTAACCGGTGGATATATACAAATTGAATGTAGTAACCAGTAATGAAGTTGGGAGATGGTGTAATCCAGGATCATACAATTAATTGCCTGCAATATTATTCTAAAACGTAGGGGATTTTTTTTTTTTTTTTAAATACGTTCCAAGTGTTCAGGCACATAGCATAAGCAGTTTAACCGAAATTTAAAATCTAAAGTTTTAAAATATAGTTCCATATTAAATTGAACAATATATATATACATATATATATATATATATTCATATAAAGGTGGACAATATTTGCAAAAGTTAGAAGAGGGGCATGCAGGGGATTTTGTTAATCAATCCAACAACTTGCCTTCAAAGTCACCCACCAAAATCACACCTAGCAAAATACTACTACTGCTACTACAATGCAATGCAATACACATTGCATGTGTTGTGTGCCTTTTTTAAATTTCCAAATATAACTGTAAGAGAGAAGACTTGTAGTTGACGTTTCAAATGTTGTGTAGAACGTAAAGAATGTGGAATGTGGTGCGTCTCTCTCTATTCTGTTCTGTGTTCGTTGATTTAGTCCTATGGTATAGTGTTGTGCTTGTGCCCACACATTCATTGTTCCCTTGCTCCTTACTCCTTCCCTCTTTTCTTCCACTTGATTGTCCCCCCCCCCCTTCTCCAAAAAGCTGCCCCCTTTCCTCTTTACCATAATTTCCCATTCTCCCCCAAATTTAATTTCCTGGGGTTTGAAATACGTCTGCAAAACAAAACAAAAAAAAAAGAAAAGAAAAGGAAAAAGTAAAAGAAAAGGTCTCCAAAATGGGATGTGGAAATTTGGAATGTAACTTGTAAGACGGGTGAGTGAGTGATGGTGAAATATTCAACGCGCTTAATTAATTAGCTAGTAGGGCACATTTGAGTGATTTTGATATAATTGAAGGACATTATAGGAAAGAAATTTTGGAGGGGGAAGTATAATACTACTTTTGTAAAGTGGTTGTGATAATACTCATGATTTTACTTTTAATGATTTTCCTTGCGATAAAACCAACTACTGTTTCTTCGTGTCATTTGAGTTGCCTGTCAAGTGAATGAATTTCGTTGATTAGCGAGGCAAGATTTTCGTGTGCATGCGTATATTTACTCTGACAATAAATTGCATTGCCATTCTTATCCAATCCAATTCATTACAGCTAATTATTACATTCAACCTTCTGAGATTCCTTTCCTCTAATTCGCTAGTGTTTGCTGGTTTCAGTACAACTGGGATTCGTGGGTAGCCTTAAGAAAATTTCCAAGGATTTCAGGAATATTGTTTCGTCCTTATGGAATGGACCAGAAATTTCATCAATTTCCCTTTTAAGAATTTTTACCACAGCCTCTTACATCATATGATTAGATCCGTCTTCCGGATAAATATGACATTCTCCCGAGTTCATGAATTTTTATCCCTTGGCAACGGAACCGTTAAATCTTTTTTTTGTTTCTAATAACTTAATTTCCCTTTTTGTCGTGACGTATCTTATAAGACAATTGGCGTGGAGTTTAATCTAGCGGATCATATAGAACTTTCGACAGGTCATGATTTTAACAGGAATCTACTTTTCTTTCCCCAATATTTCATGTGTGATGTTTCGAACTGGTTGCAATTTAACCAACCATCTAAATTCTATTTCCAAGTCAACAGCACCTTGCAGGTCATGCACAAGCCTTAATTTGTTGCTCCATTACCTTACGCACAAGACGCATTTTGCTTTAACTACCGGCAAACTATCAAATAATTCCCCATGTGCATGAAAAAAGTGAGAAGATTTTTTGCACCTTCTGCTCTTTCATAGTTCCAGTCTTGGAAGATATGCGTACAAGCCTTTCTTGTATCGTTACCTTACGCTGAAATTGCAGTAACATTTTGCAGCATCATACCTCGTGGAGAGGGGAATTAGTCATATTGTATTTGTATTTGCACTTGCTTACTTTACAGATAAGTTATCCCCTATTAATTAACACGTACCTTCAGGTACCGCCATAGAATTTTGAAAATTATTGTTTGATTCTGGAGTACAATTCATGAACCATTCAACTCTAAACCTAGGGGTGACTTTGACTAGCTTCAGAAGAAAATACTCAAATATTAGAATGGACTTGCTTTCCACATACAGGAGTTATGCTGAGATGGAAAAGAGATTTAAAGTGTACGTATACGAAGAAGGGGAGCTACCAATTGTACATTACGGGCCGTGCAAAAATATATATGCGATTGAAGGAAGATTCATACACGAAATGGAGCACGGTGGCGTATATATATACACATGTGACAAATGATAATGTACACCAGGGCAGTACTTGATTACTAGTATTTACATATCCTCATCATCCTCCTATATATCATATATGGTCTATGAGAAGTTATGAATTGGCTGACCCATTATGTGTACATTTTATCCGATGGCGATGTTGTGCGATAAACGCTCAACGTGAGACCTCAGAATGTCCCCAACAGAGAACCGAGGCCTTCCATTTCCATTTGGGGGTGAGGTTCGGCTGATAATTGGTGTTTCATTTTTGACATCAAGATCTATTGGTCCCATCTCTCTCTTCATTGTTTTAATAAACTCCATATCGACGTCGTTGCCTGACATATCCCTCACATAGAAGGCATTTACCGCATCCTCGCCCTGTGTTGCTATATCTGCCCTGACTACCGCTAGGCCATTCTCCCGAAGAACCCGAGTTATGTCAGAAAGAAGTCCTACCCTATTAGTTGCACGTAACTCTAATCGAATACCCTGTTTCAATAGAAATTTCATCAAAATCCAAGACATGCCGGTATCCCATTTATTATATGATGAATCATAAGGGACAGATGTTGCAAAAGAAGGAAGGATTTCTGGAACGTACCTCACAAACCCTACGCTCTATGGCGGCCTCCAAGCATTTTATGACTCTTTCCTTTTCACCCTCTGTATTCAAGGCACAGCCATCAATGCGCCTTATGAAATACTCCTACAGGTTGATTGATGGGCACATATGAACGAATGCTGTGAAGAAAATACTAGCCAGCTAGGTAGTGGTATTAGGCAAGGCAGATTTGCTCATGAGCTAGTTTCACTTAAAACGTACCTGAAATGCATAACCTTCATCAGAATCAACGGAAGCATGGAAGATGACGTATTGCAGGTCAGTAAGAGTGCAAACAGTATCAAACATGAGCCTTCTGCGATCCTTACAACTCACTGTGACTATTGAATATCCCCTCTCATCACAGCTCTCAATCCGCACCTGGCATTCTTTCTTCTCCCGCTCCTCCTCATCTTCGTGGCCACCAAGTGGAATATTCGCCGTGGACCTCGGCCACGAGCTCGACGGCCCTGAAGCTGAAGGAGGCCCGTCGAAGTCGCGAACGGAGAGCATGAGCTGATGCAACCGGCGTTCCACATCAGTCATGGTGCCTTCCCAGCGGCCATGATCGGGAAGGCCAGCAAAATGTTTCACCTCTTGTTGGTTGGTGCAGACGTCATCTCCGGCGTTTTGAGACGTGGTGGCTCTGAGGACCGTGGTAAGGTGGTCTTCGATGGTGGCGAGGCGGTGGTCATCAATCGGAGAGGATGTGGATTGGTCGGAGATGTAGGCAACGCATGCTAAGCGAGCATTGTGGCTCCATGCATGTGCTTCCACCACATTAATATGAAGATCGGCCAAGGCAGCAGAAATTTCAGAGAAAAGGCCAGGCCTGTCTTTTCCCCTCATCTCTATTGCTGTGGGTTCATGAGCAGATGTCTTGGACTCTAAGAACTTGGTATTTCTGGCCCTTGCTTTTGCCATGGCCTCCTTATTTGCTCCAATGGCCTGCAGTACCATTTCCTTAATTTGTTAGTCCATGTATGTACCTGAACCAGTAATGAGCAGGCTTGCTAGCATTAGACTGCATGTTCAACAGCAATTACTTTTAACGCATTATTTAGTGAACACCTTAAAGGGCTTTCATGCCCACAAGTAAAATTGCCTAGATTACGGATTTACCATATAATAGTAAGCTTAAAGAATATTTTTTGATGGGGCAGCTTAATAAGTTTACCACACTTCTCCCAAATTAAATGCATACATGCATGTTGGGGAGAAATTAATTACCTTCTCTAAAAAAAAAAAAATTGGAGGGAGAGAAGGATTTACCTTCTGTATATAGTTGATAACATTCTGATCAGTAACTTTGTTCCCACTTCCATCTTTAACATGAAACACTGCAAAATATCCAAAAGAGTACCAAGTGAAGGAGGGTGGTAAGTTTTAATAAGTAGGCATATTCTCCAGCTGCAGGTTGGGGCGAATTGTCATGTACTTGTACAAATCTATTAAATATGTCAATTGTAATATCATTTTCAAAGAGAAAATTCAATCAGGATGGTTGAAGGATTACCGTCCATGAGCCATCCAGCATCAGAGGAAATGTAGCTCTTCAATATGGTGAGGTTCATATCAGTAAGCGCTTGCACCACCTCCAGAAGTAGGCCCTGCTTGTTTACGCTATCGATCTGCCAAGTAATAATGTGCATGTCAGTATTGTATGATTTACCATTCATTGCTAATACTTTCTTTCTCCTTCCCTAATTAATCAGTCAGGATTGCCACTTGTGGCCTCCCTAACACTCTGACCTTTAAAACGGTGCACTCGTCTGAGCTTTCATTGTCAATTGTAACTCTGCATCTGTAAGGGAAAAAAAAAAAGGAAAAGAAAATAAAGAAATTCCACTATCACTTGATATTTAGCTCCAATCTAAAGAAATAGTCAAATTATCGAGCGTTGCTAGACATCATTTCAATTGCTCCAAGACACGTGCATAACATCAGATGTTAAAATTTGACCCAGATTTTGGTGATATATTTCAGAACAGGAATGCAATGTAAAATATCAGACGTGCATGATGACTTACACAGGGCCGTAAACTCTTTCTGAAAGGCCATCAAAATCGGGGTCAAAGTAAGGCCAACTAGCTGTATTCATGCCGCAACCTACACACATTTAAGGCAGCAGACGAAAGAGGTGAAAATGGATCGGAGTTAACCGTGAAAAATGCAAAAGAATCACATCATTCATTCATAAACAAATGCATCGAATAATGCAGCTATTGCTGAATCAAATCTATCTGCATTCCCATTTTGCGGCAATAGTCAATGAATGAATGATTTCTGAGTAGGGAATAAGTGAAAAAGAAAGATCAGCTAATTAATTACCTGGAAACGGTTTTTGGTAGATGCAAAAGTGTTGCAAGGAGATATAAGATTAGCTGGAGAAATATGCGATGGACCAAATTAAAGAAAGAGAAAGATCATTATGAGCAGGTGCGAAAGAAGAATACGTTGAGGAGCTGCGGGCAGCTCAACAATTCCAATGGTGCTAGCAAGAGGAGAAAAAAAAGGAACAAATTTCAAGTTTTTCTATCTTTTGATGAAGAAGATTAATATCTCTCTCTCTCTCTCTCTTATTTTTTATACACGGATGGTTTTGAAAACAGTAGTATCAGAGTAAATATGAGAAGGAGACAGAGGAAGAGAGAAGTGGCTGACATGACTCATAATTGGTTGGAACTCAATTGGCTGTGAAATTGAGAGAGGAGGCTTAGCTTTAAATAGAATGCAAATGACAATAGAAAGAAAACCAAACAAAGGGTGGATGAATTTCCTTTAATTAGAAGTTGATACACATTTCTCAGATCCATACTTGTAGTCAAATGAGATTTATCCGCCACATTTATATTGAATTTGATTGATTTGGTCTTTGTGTGATTGATTTCTTCTTTTTCTGCTTCCTTCTTTCTTGTTTCCTCTCTCTTTTACTAGTCATCATGTCGGTGATGATGAGTGTCCTCCTCCACCGCTGTCCATAAACGGCTCCTTCATGCACGGAACGGAACCTCTTCATTTTCTGCGGCCTGTCCAAACTTGTACATTTGTCACATTTCTTGCTACTTGCGTGGCCGCACCTACACAAGTTCAATGGTAACCGGAACTCCTTTGTTGCTGTTGTTGACGTCGTTGTTTGCATGCATTTTCTCGTGTACAAAGTCGGCCGGTGGAGGGCTGATTAAAAAAGTGTTTTACTTGTTAAATCCGCTCAATGGTTTCATATGTAAGGGTGACAACAGCCCGAACTCGGCTGGGTCGGCCGATAAAACTCCGATGAACCTAAATTTTAATTAGATCATTGGGTGGAGTTTGGACTTGCATAAATGAGTATAATTATATGGATTATGACATAAAGTGTTAACAATTTATATATAAATTT